CATCAAAGTGAACACATACACAGACACACATCTCTGCACACACATGCACGTGTGGTCACATGAGCTGATACAAACAGAAATCATCCAAGCCAAGAATTTGGGTCTTCTTGGCCCAAGTGACCATCTTACAAGCTGTAGACAGGAGTGCATTTGCAGTAAAATCGGCATAATATGGTCGTTGTAACCGTCTACAATGCAAATGAACATGTATACGCACAGACGCAGAGATGGCATATGTCACCGCGACGAGGGGATGCGCCTTCTCATCGCTGCTCTGGTACCATTACTCCTTCATGTGGCCAAGTGGACAACTTGAAGTAAGACACAAACCCAGTATTACGACGCCCGACCTTGACAACACATATTCACGCGCATACACGCAAACAAATGCACAGTCACACTCGCATAGAGGCAAAACGAAATGGGTATATAATACTTAACAATAAGACTTTTGGTATGCGCAGATTGAGATGGTCATACCTTTCACGGGTATGGTAAGTGCACATTCTCAAAAGGAACCGGGTGAAGCAACACAATGAGAGGCCAGTAGGAGTGAGGATATTGCGTGCGCGACTCTCAGAGAGACGTGGCACGGCGGTGCTATCTGTTGAAGTTGGTGTAGTCTGTGGAAGTTTGAAGTAAACAGCCTCTTGACTGGATGTGTGCATGTTTGTGTGGATCGGAATGTAACATTTAATGCATATTTGGCTGTAGGTACGAAGAGGTCTCCCTGGCTGCCGAAGAGCTGTAGGGCAACGCTCTGTGTGGATGCTGGTGGAGCGATGGAAAGGCGGTAAGTAGTGAGGAGTGAGTAGTGAGCAACCTGACCCGACTAGGGGAAGGAAGAAGGAATACTGAGTCAGTCTGGCATACATGGCAACGCCCAGGTATTGACGGACACAAATGAACAAATGTTCAGTGAGTCAAGTAAGAGTGAACTGCATCAACTACATCAATAACATCGACTGGACAAGCGATATAAATTTAGTCATCTGAATGGCATACATCAAATCAATCAATAGCATCAAATACAGGAACTGCATTAAAACAATTAAATATATCGAAAATACCGAATGGACCATCGATACAAATATTCCTAAATGAAAAAAACTATATAAATTGCATCAAATAAAGCAACTT